GCTCTGGAATGGGCTGCCCAGGGAAGTGGTCAAGTCCCCATCCCTGGCAGTATTTAAAAGAAGGATAGGTGAGGTGTTTGGGGACAGGGTTTAGTGGTGGGATGGCAGGGTTAGGTTAAAGGTTGGACTCAATGATCTTAAAGGTCTTTTCCAACCAAAGTGATTCTATGATTCTGTGATTCTAATTTGTCTTCTCACGGCTCCCATTTCCAGAGGAAATCCAAGAAATCCTGGGCTTCATGCCAGAAGCCATGGTGCAATGTCCAAATACCGTCGCGGCAAGGACAGCTGAGGAAGGTTTTCAGGATTAGGACCTGCTAAGCAGACACGTGGTCATCTGAGCCTGTGTCCACCAAAACCTGAGTGTTTCCAGGCTGGCTTTTCTTAGCTTGGTTTGTACTTAACAGGGGCCTGTGTGTCTCTGCCTCTGGGAAGAAGGGAGGATGATCATGAAATGGTCTGAAGTTGTACCAGGGCAGGTTTAGGTTAGACATTAGGAAAAATTTCTTCACAGAAAGTGTTGTCAGGCACTGGAATGGGCTGCCCAGGGAAGTGGTCAAGTCCCCATCCCTGGAGGTATTTAAAAGATGGGTAGATGAGGTGCTTAGGGCCAGGGTTTAGTGGTGGGATGGCAGGGTTAGGGGAACGTTTGGGCTTGGTGATCTTAAAGGCCTTTTCCAACCTAAACGATTCTATGATCATATTTGCAGGCTGGTCCTGCTCATCTGTTTGAAAGCAGAGGGTTGTGCAGATCCGACTGTAATCACAGAATCACAGAATCGTAAGGGTTGGAAGGGACCTCAGGAGATCATCTAGTCCAACCCCCCTGCTAAAGCAGGCTCACCTAGAGCATGCTACACAGGACTTCATCCAGGCGGGCTTTGAATATCTCCAGAGAAGGAGACTCCACAACCTCCCTGGGCAGCCTGTTCCAGTGCTCTGCCACCCTCAGAGTGAAGAAGTTCTTCCTCATATTCAACTGAAACCTCTCGTGTCTAATGAATGGGGAAGGGCAGAGTGTCCTGTGGCCTCCTTGTAATCCTCTGTCAACCAGCTGTTTCTCCTCTTACGCACAGGCTGAATTTCAGATTAAAACCTCCTCTTTCTCCTGTCGGTGTAGCTGCACAGTCATAGGAGGAGGCATTGCTGGCCACGGGATGTTCTCAAGGTGTATGATTGATGCTGCTCCGCTTTTCAGTAGCAAGTCAGCAAAAACAGATGCTCATTACAGACCTGGGGACCCTATTGCTCAGAGGAAGAAAATTTCAGGTCAGGTCAGCTAAGTTTCCTTCTCTTTCTCTGTTGCGTTGCACATCACTTAGCATGTCATGCTGGTCTCAGCCACAGAAGCCAGCGTCATTAAAATGACATTGTGGTTGAACGGGCATCTTTTCTCGAGGCTGATTGCAGTATGTGTCCTGACTGCACCTCTTCCATCAGACATCCCAATTTACACGTCTATCTTTAAAACAGTTTCCTTAACTGTTATTGCCCATCAAACTTTGGCTTCAGCCTAAGAGGCTGGGAGTGCTTCGAGGTCTTCATGTCACTGGTTTGGCTGAAGGGTGCTTGGGATATGTTCCTTGATGTCTTTCATTGTTTGACTGTTCTCCAGTGCTGCCCTACGCTCAGAGAGAGGAGCTCTGTGAATTATTTGTGCTCGTAGACACGCAAAGTGCTGTTGGTGCTGTCATTACCACCAGCCATCTTGACGGAGAGTGGCTGGACAGATACCCTGTCTGAACCAGTAAATTTGCAGACAGTTTTGCAAGGCTGCCATGCTGCTCCCTCAATCCCGAGATGAGAACAAGGATTAGCATATTGCTATTGCTTCCAGTTGGCTGTAAAACCAGAGGCTGGGGAGGGGGCTGGGGAGCTCTCCGGGATGTCCGTGCGCTCTCCTGGGAGCAACAGATCAGAATTCAAATGAGGCTTCAGATGGATTTATTGGAGTGGCACAGTACACGCAGCCTGGGCTTTGAGTTAGGACATGAAAGAATGGTGCATTCCCAGCAGCAGAAGGCATTAATGAAATATGTTCCTCTTACTGACTTGCTTTGAACTGTCCCCTGTGACTACGGCAGCCGCATTCACGGGGCTGTGCAGCACTTACTGATGCGCAGCTAGTAAAATCAGTAAAAGCGTCCCTGCTAATAGAGAACATAATGGCAATGCTATTGTTTCTGTGGCCACCAGTGCAGACAGGGTTTTCTGGAGCTGTGGAGCAGAACCTCCCTGTGCTGCGAAGCCGAGAACATTGCCTGCTCTGATGGGAGGACTGCTGCCGGGAACGGAGGCTTTTTTTGGGTC